CACTCGTGGGAGTCTTCAGATCCTTTAAGAAAGTAATAACAAGCAAAATAATTTTAGTCAGTTAGCAAGTTTTCCATTTTTGCCAAGGCAGCTATGAACAACCTATATCCCGAAACTACCATTTTTTCTTCAAACAGACCATTAAACGGAGTCCCCCTTTCAAAAAGGTAAGAGTAATTTTTGCCATAAGCCCATATTTTTTTCAAGAAACCCTTTCTCATTATAGAAGCCTTGGTCCATAGAAGTGGGGAATTTCCCCTCCCCCCCCCCCCCCCAAAAAAAAGTATATAACACGGTACAAGCCCAGCAAAGTGTTTTGTTTTTTTTATCAATTAAGAACAAGGAACTTATCAATCAACTCAAAACAAAGTATACTTCCTCGTGATTGACCATATTATCTAAGAAAGCGCTAGGACATTAACGACGTAACAACACAACTGACCTTTCGAAGCCTACGATCTTCACCTTTTTGGCCAACAGTATATGATGGCTGGTCCACCTGGATGGAAGATTCTTTTCCGACCTGCTTTTCTAAAGTATTCTTTCTAGCTTCAGAAGCTTCCGTTTCAAGATTTCCAGGTACTCTATCATGTTCAGATTTCCCATGAAACTCTGGTTCATCTTCAGAAGTCCCCTTTGCATCCGAAGTAGTACTGCAAGTACTTTGAAGTGAAGATTTCTCGTGAATAGAAAATGTGGGAACTTGATCTGCCATTAGATCATCTTCTGAATTATCTGCTCGTTCTTCACCAAGATCACTGGGTAAAGACTGATCTTTCTCAGACCTAAAACTTGCCACCCCTACTAATTTGCTTTTCGAGTCCTGAAGGAAAAAAAAATAGTGCTGGATCAGTAGCCTTACCAAAGTTCATCTCTAGCTTTAATGTGTTTTGCTGTTCATTTCTAAATACTTTATTTGCATCTTCAAAAGACCGACTGATGGTAAATTAGAGCTGAGGAATCTTACAGTTTTTGACAACCCAACTTTTTCTGCTGAAAGGCTTTCAGTTACATTTTGACTTCCTTCATCATCCTTCTCTGAACTTGCAGCGGCTTCCTTCATATATCTGCAGAGGATGCAGTACCCAAGAAGAGCATTACAGATTCAGTGGAAGCAAGGAGCACTAGTGCGTGCCCTAAGATGAGATACATAATATGTTCTAAAATATTCTTCCACAATTCAAACGCTAAGATGGGATAGATAATATGTTTTGAAAAATTCTTCCAAATACACAGGTTCTCACTTGATGGTTCCACTATGCCGAAGTGAGGACTGCAATGCTCGTCTAGAGTTCCGTATCCAAGGATGAGAGAGCAAAGTCTTTGCATCAGGTCTCTGCCTGGAATCCTATAATATGCAAGACACAAATCAGATGCACATACTGGATACTAAGTAAATCAGAAGTGCCAAGGTTCTGGTACAGACGTTGGTGGAATGATTAAACTTTCTTGCATTATACTATACCTTCTTGAAGCACTGTCGTAGAAAGTCTGTAATATCTGGAGAAAGACTATCAGGAATAGGAGGGTTGTCATCCTGCCACGAAACCAGAAAAAGGCAATAGTTAGTCACTTCTGGCTAACAGCTTTTGCATTTTTTTTCAGGACAGAAGTGATTTACAACAAGGAAGCATACGAAAAAGAAAAGCTAGGAAGAGACCTAAATTTCTTGACTTAATTAATGCAAACTCATAAAATGTTTTCAAAACCTGAACAATACGAAAGAGGGCTGGCATTGGCTGCAGATCATAGTAAGGAGGTACACATGTAAGAAGTTCAATAACAGTGCATCCAACGCTCCAAATGTCAGAAGCCGCACAAACTCCGGACATTTCAATAACCTAAAACAGAAGTTGGGTATACGTCAACTCGCACATATCAAGAAAACGTGCTGCAAAAATTACCAACCTCAGGAGCCATCCAGTAAGGAGTTCCAACCACTGAGTGAGTATTAACATCAGCTTCGTTTAGTTTAGTGGCAACTCCAAAGTCAGCAAGCTTAACAAGACCCTGAAGTATGAGACAGTTAAGTATTTACCTAAGGAAGAATAGCCTAGAAGAATCTTATGAATCCGAGAAACAACAGATCTTGAAACCAATAACAAATTAATGAAGAAATGGCTGAGAATAACTAACAAATTACATAAAGCACAGAAAAACACACCTCCTTTGTCGTCAAAATATTTGCACCCTTGATATCTCGGTGTATGACACCCTGCTCATGCAGATATACTAAACCTTCCAAGACCTGTATTCACTAGTGAGTACACAATCCATAAAAAAACTTCGCTCAACTAGAAAGATATATACAGACCTGAGCAATGTAAACAGCCACCAACGATTCTGGGAAAGGTCCAAATTTATTTGGTTTAATTATGTTTGCAAGAGACCCATTCTCAACGTACCTGCAAACACATTATCGAACTTGAGTTTCCAGACCGTAGTCCAGCGTGGACCAATATAACCAGAAAAGAAGCAACTTACTCCAGAATAATGTGAAGGTGAGTCTTTGTCTTCGACGACCCAAGATACTTTACAATGTTTTTATGGTTCAAGTTCTGCAATGATATATAATCATCTTAGAAGACATAGAGGAAGATTGCATCTTTACCAGCATAACCATTAATGAGAAGAAGCTAAACAGTCCTAGGCAATGTTAAGGCTAACGAATTTGTAACTGAACAATAATAGTGGGATATGGAAGAAAGAAGCTACCTTCAACAGATCAATTTCTTGCTGGTGAGAATAATATAACCACCGGAAATCACCCACATGTAACACCACCATGATTCAAGTCAGTACAGAAGTGGTAAAGAGAATTCGAGACCACATTGAATCACACTAAGACGAAACAAATAGCAAAGACAGATAAAAGTAACAAACCATAATAGTGTTAAGATCCTCTTGAACAATATTTTCCAATGAGACTTGTTTGATGGCCACAAAGTCTCCATTCTCCAAGTCTAATCCTTTATAAACTCGACCATAAGCTCCTTTACCAATTTCATCTCCCAGCATCTGCGCTCAAAATTCAAGAATCAAACCTTGGGGAGTTAATTTAACCTTGAGCAGACAAGGATCAATGAAAAGAGACAAATTTCATTTTTGCCCACCACGATTTAGCGTTCCAATTTCGAATTGGTAGAGCTAGAATCCAAAAAAAAAAACCAAATTCCCAGGAATTGCGGAAGAAGAAGCTTACATATTTGTTGTCGAGAGTCTTTGATTTGTGGAACTGAGATGACGTCATTTGCCGCGCCATCTCTTCTCGTTGCTTCCTCCGTCAGCAAACAAAAAGAAAAATGCAGCGAGACAATTGCTCCTCAGAGAAACCGATCCATTTACCAAAGGAAATAACAAGAATTAGGGTTTAATTTCTAAAAATTGAAGGATTTGAGATGGGTTGAAATTTCAGATATATTCAGATGCCAGCCGTAAGACAGTAGTGAGAAAATATGGCAATTAAAAAAACGACAAATAAAATAAAAGCTAAGCAAAAAAAAACAAAAGAAAAAAAAAAAAGGAAAGAACACAACTTTTTGACTTATGTTAATTCCTCATGCGCCATTTATCTTCTTTTTTATGGGGCCCATATTCTTTTCTTTCTTCACGATTTCACCCCACTCTTTCCCGAATTATAAAATATCTGGCCTTTCGTCCAATTACAGAATGTTTATCATTTTAAAAGTCGGTCCAAATATTAAATGCTTCTTTCATTAGTTTCTGTCATTGTTAATAAATTATTTAAAATCAAGGTGGTTAGTATTCATTAATGTGTTATAAACAATTTTGAACATTTTCTATAACAAAAAAAAAACAATTTTGAACATTATATTTTGTACTCCAATTTTTTCTCAACCGGAGGAGCTAGGATAAGCGGATGTTATGGCTTCCTAGTTATGGCCACTCAAATTATAATTTCATGAAACAAATTGATTTACATACAAATAACTACGAAGCAACAAACTTATGCATGGTGGTCTAAACTCTATAGGACCAAAAACAAAACCATCATGCCTAGTATTAAATCTGAACAATAAAAAACAAACAAACAAGTCCATGCAGGTGAGGTGAAATTACAAGCGCGTAATCACCAAACACCAAAACTGGAGCGTGAGGAAAAAGTCGGTAGGTTCATTGGTAACGTCAGTAGACTAAGGAAGAGAGAGAGAGAGAAAAAAAAGCTAACCAATCGTGGAACTCAGAGAGATCTATCACGAAACCCTAGTTAGTCCAAGAGAGAGGAGGATTAAACTCTGTTGAAGACGGCGGCGATGACGTCACCTGACGGGAAGAAACCAATATCGAAGAAGACGAGCAGGTGCTGCACGAAGATGGGGATGAAGAGAGGACCGTGGACGGTGGAGGAGGACGAGATACTTGTGAGCTTCATAAAGAAAGAAGGAGAAGGAAGGTGGAGATCGCTTCCCAAGAGAGCTGGTTTACTCCGATGCGGTAAAAGCTGCCGTTTACGGTGGATGAACTATCTCCGGCCGTCTGTCAAACGCGGCGGTATCACCTCCGACGAGGAAGATCTCATCCTCCGCCTTCATCGCCTCCTCGGCAACCGGTGCGAACACATTTATATATATACATATGTTATATAATTACTCAGATTAACTACAAAAACCAAATAAGTTTTTAGTATATTAATATCAAACGACATACATAAAAGATCGTAATTTCTATATATAAGTAGTGCGTGTGTATTTACGCAGAACGTAGCGTTTTTCGTTTGTTTAGACTAGGGTTTAATTTCTTCTACATAAACACATCAAGATTCTTTCATTTGATCACATTTATCACTCTATTGATATATATAATGTTGTTATATATGATCACATTTTATATTTGTCCATTTATCACTGTATTTATATATATATATATATAATGTTGTTATAGAGGAATATATATAGTAATCAATCGTTTGTTGTTTTAGAGACACATATATATATATATATATATATATATATATATATGTGATCAGATGCTAATTCGAATGTGTGATGTAAGGTGGTCACTGATCGCGGGAAGGATACCGGGAAGGACTGATAATGAGATCAAGAACTATTGGAACACTCATCTTCGTAAGAAACTCTTAAGACAAGGCATTGATCCTCATACCCACAAGCCTCTTGCTGCAAACAACACTCATCAACCCGGCCGAGACGAAGTTTCCGGTGGACAAAATCTTGTCGAGCATAATTCTACTTCTCATACTGCTAATACCACCGTTAGTAACGGAAATGGAGCTAGCAAGATCAGTACCAGCGTCTTTGGTGATGAAGACGACGAAGACTTTGACTTCTGTTACGATGACAAGTTCTCTTCCTTTCTGAATTCCCTTATAAATGATGATCCTTTTGATAGTAATATTCCAATATCCCAGCCGTTTCAGACGCACAATTGTACCGATGAGATCGTTGGAACGTCGTCGAGCTCAGTACATGACCAGAGACCTGAAGATATGTAATTTGGTTGATCGTGATGTCTCTTCAACATATATATCTACCATAATTCGAGAAGTGTATTCATGTGATTTCAAGGTTGGGTATATAAATATATGTGTGCTAAGTTGTTTTGTGGTGATCTGTGTGATTACAATATAACTCTTTTATGTGTAATTGATCACATAAACCTTTATATATGGTATATCTCTTGTATCATGTTTCTTTTTCATGCCTCATTCGAATGAATGAATTAGTTACAAAGCTTTCTACTTAGAGCATGAACATTGTTAAAACTCAATTGGGTCTTATAATATTTTTTTTAATATTTTTTATTAAAATGGAAAGAATAATGATGAAACATATGTCAGGGAAAAGATGAGGAAGGAAAAAATATTTTTTTTTCTCCATATTGAAGAACCAATCATATGCATCCACCTGTTTTAAAAACGTCTCTTATGCATTATAATATAAGCGACGTCTTCTCGATTAAAATAATAATATTTATTTTTAAGAAATGCTGTAAGAGACAGCAATGTTCATGGTCTTAAGTTCTTACAAACAATAATCTTATTTAGTTTATTATATATATTACATCATCGTGTGGGTATATATATAATATTATGGAACTGTGGAAATTAATAAGAATGTGTTTAATTTTTAATCCAGTACAAAAGGTGAAAACAATGCTTACTATCTTAAACAATGTTACGAGATATGAAATATAGTTATTTGGATAATTTCTATCAAACAATTGCAGTCCGTTAAATTTGTAATGCACGAAATTTAAAAACAATAAAGATTGTACCTTAACATTAAAAAGCTATTAGCGCATTCGGAAAAGTTTACTTACATACTGAAGGATCAGCTCCCTTTTCAAGTTTTGTAAAGTTTCTTGCTTAATCCTGCTTTTTCAAGTATTTCAGTCACAAGCATGTACATCCATGTATAGATGAATCAGCGAATGTACATGCATGTAAAGATGAATTAGTTAACATATGCATATATAGTAAAGTTGGATACTCAAAGTTTGTCAAGTATTTCACATATAAGTCTGTTTGCACCATTGACAATATAATTTATGTTACTAAAATGTGTATCAGTTTATGCATCCATTTTATCGTGCAGATTCACTGTTAAAAACAGGCATCTTACGTATAAGTCACTACTCAGTACTCAGTGTACTGTGTACTCACTAGTTACTCATCATACATAATCTCATTGATGAAAGGTCCGTGCGTTCTCCGTCCCTCAATAATTCTGTTATCACAAAAGAACACCATGCCGTTTTGGCGTTGAACCTTTACACATCTCCACAGTTAAGCCACATGAAAACGCCGCTGTTAAACCAAAGATTGGCCCAAACAATTAATGGTGGGCTTAAGTGGTGTTAGAGTCTAGATTATAGACCAAGCTTAAATATAATAACGCACGGATTTATCTGATATAATTTGAGCCGTTAGATTGATTGACGTTTACTTTAGATAGTTGACTTTAAACCCTTTTTTTTTTGACAGCCATAAGTTCGACTGAGAGAGTATTCTTTCTGCTCCGACCTAACCTTCTTCTCTCTTTGACCTTTCGGTTCACATCACAGCATCAAAACTAAATAAACTCTATAACAGAAATTCATTCGCGCAAATTTACAAAAAAGAATGCTTTTTAATCGGAAATCCCATATTTAGATAATTAGACTGTATATTCATGAAGATCTTTTTTTATATACATAGCTAGATATATCATTTATAATTTAGATACTGGATTTATCTCCCAATATATCTCATCAATCACAGTAAGAGAAAACGTTCTAAACGAACGTGTCATGACTATTTCAACGAAGGAACACAACAAACCGATATATAATTCGAGTTATATCAAAAGAAAAAAGATAAAGAATCGAGTACATGTATGATATACATGGAATACATAAACAGGCATAAACATACACATTCATCTGCATAGATACATATAATACATTCAATGTCGATTTTCAAAATCAGTTTACAAATTTGATGAAGAGTAAAGCTACGTACCGATATGAAGATAAAGTCGCAGAAACTATTGTTCAATGTTTTCTTGTAGTTTTTTTTTTGTTTGTTACGGATGTTCTTCTCTCTCTCTCTCTCTCTCTCTCTCTCTCTCTCTATAACAAAAAATATTGATGTACCCATGGATATGTGTTGAGGATCTGTAGTAATTATTTTGCAAAGCTGAATTAGGTAATTAAAAGAAAAACAAGAATTGACCGGTAGATTTGGTCTCTCGTTTTGTGTTTCTAACGGAAAGCTTGATCTTATTTGGAGATAGTCGATCATAAAGGTTATAGAACCTGTTAGGTACCAACTAAATACTCTTCATCAGTTTAATCACCCCATCCGTGAACGTCTCACTCTTACTCTCTAGGAGTTATCGCCATTGTAGAAGGTATGATTATGTCTCTTTCTTTTTATCACCATTTTCTTGTTTAAAATTAATTAAATAACTTTTTTCCTTTTAAAAGAAACTATTCATCAGTTAAATTCAGACCATATATGGTATTTGGTTCTCAAGTCCTCAAAGAATAGTTTTGACACTAAATTGTATAAACTTCAATAAATTGGAGTTAGAGAGGATAGGTCCTACCTCACATATCGTTGCCTATTATCTGAGCAAACAATTTTTCTTGGTCATCTAACATTGTGGCTCGAATTTGGTGGATGCATTTAATCAAAGAACTAGGTGTACAATAATATATCTGTTGTCTTTCCTCGTCAAATCTTTGTTCACTTGGCAAATCGCAATGTCCATTCTTTTGCTACCTCGTCATGCTTTTCTCTATCCGACACGTATAGCCGTGCAATCACTGGTAAAGCTGGATTATCTGGTAACGAAAGAATAAGAGTAAAGACTGTTTGTGAGAGAAAGGAAAGGAACACATGAACTTTATTAGACCAGAAAAAAACTAATGAAATTTCTTAGGCAGATAGACCTGAGCTAACCAATCCCTCAAAGGACTTGACATTGTCTGATCTGATGCATGAGATTCGAGTAGAGACTTACAGGGTTCAGGTTTTAAGAAGATGGATCTGATGGCTTGTAAGACTTTTGTGATTGTAAGAGCTGGGCTCCAACTGTCTCTCAGGATATCCACACTTAAACTCCCGGCAGTATCGACATTGCAATGGTAGATCCGAGTCTTGAAAACCACCTACAAATCCTCACCATCTTAATCAAAAGACTCAAAAAGAAGATGTTAAACTACTGATATAATGAAAGTGCAAGCTCAAGCCTAAAAACCGTAAGCTTCGTTCTCTCAGGACACAAAAGGTCAAGAATTCGCTACAAAATGTATCCTAAGACTTTGATGTAAGAAAGAAGACTATGTAACTCCTTCTGCCAGACTCTGAAACTCACATTTATCAAAGTGTGACGCAGTTCAAGCCTTAATCAAAAGACCAATAGAGATGCAAAAGATCACGACGCATTGATATTCAGTAATTAGTTCTTCTAAAGACATCAGCTTTCTAAACCCAAAATCATTACCAGTTAAATCAGTGAAGCTCCCAATAGAAACGAATGATAAAAGTTAGCTACTTTCACTAAAATAGTCAACCAGAGAATCCAAGATCATACCTTAGGTGGCTTGAAGGGATAATCAGACGGAAAAATTATATCCAGAAAAAAGATCCCTCCTTCATACGGAGTTCCTGCAAAAATCGAATTCCCAATCCAAATCAAAAAGACTTGAAAGCTAACAAATTTTCATCGGATTCTCCAGAAACTAACCAAAGGGACCAATAATGGTTGCGATCCAATGGTAGAGATTATCCCCTTTGGGTCCAGCGGAGCAATCAGGAGGCGGATCCACGTTCAGCTCCGCCATCTCCCTCTGTATCCGCTTCCCAGAAGCAGAAACAGAAGTCTTCGCTACCCAAGACGACGCCGTTCCTGAATATCCGGCGTACATCGCCGTCGGTAACGGCTTAAACCTCCCGCTTCCGCCAGGTGTCATCATCTCCCGTCGTCGTCGTCGTCGTCGTCGTCGTCCCTACTGCTCTGCTTATCCAATCCATTTTACTTCAGCGTTTCGCTCGCACTCCATCCGGGAAAAGTTCTCCTAAACGCCGCGTTTCAGTCCGATCAGTTAAACAAATAAAGTAATTCTCGCTGACGTGGCGAATCCCTAATATTTATTCACCGCTCTACGTCTATAATTTTGTAATCATTTTTTAATTTTTGGCTTTTGTTTTTGAATTATTCACACATTGTGGAGCATATTGGATCATGATCATGTTATAACCACAAGAGTTCTTAATAATTTCGATAAATGATTATTCAAATTTCGTTAATTTTGGAAATAAAATTAAGTATAAGATCCTCCAATGTCAAATTGTCCTATGAATTTTTGTTTTCTGAATACCAAGAATAACGGAAGATCTCCATAAATTTTCAATAAATACAAGGCAATGATTCATTTGAAAATGAAATTTCAATCACTCTAATTCGAAAATTTTAGCTCAAAGATGAAACAAGAAGAATGACAACATGTGATCTCTCTCTCTAGCTACACTTACACAGTTACACTACACCACATTAAAACAATAAATACTGGTAATCGGAAAAAAACCAAGCCGCCTTTAGACATCTCCGGTTACTACAAAACCGCGTTGTGGCCAACGATCTACAAAAGGCGGTCAGGCTGAAGTAACAGTAGTAGTAGCAGTGTGAGAGCTAACGGTGCTAAGAAGGGAAGATGGTAGATGGAGATGATAAGTGCGTTTGCGTTCCCTACCAATGGACTTACGGGTCCTAACGCAGTCGTAGGAAAGTTCCCTCCCGTTGCGTTTGCGTTTGGGCTGAGATAGATTGAAAAAGATTTCCATGTGAGTTAAGCAAATATTGCGTTTTTCAAAAGGTTTAGAAACTAGAATAAAAATAAAATCCTGATTGTTTACCTTCCAGTATATGCACATGTTTTGTAACCTGCAAAACGCACAAGCAACCAAATTTGAGATTTCAAGCAACATGTACGCATAGACTTTATAGAATTTTTATAGCGATGATTTGATCAGAGAAAATCGAGAAAAACTTACTAGGATCTCTAGTCGTAGTGATGGCTGTGCCACTAAAGTCACAAGTTCCACCTGTACTTTTCTTCTTCTGGTAATAGTCATTGTAAGCAAAAGAAGCATGGCTCTTGATATCGTTCGGGAAAAAGCAAGCTTGGCCTGGTTGAATCAGGGCACAGTTAGCTCCTCCTTGACCACACGCCCAATTCAAACCGCCCTCCAACTCATCTTCTTCAGCATCCGCTTTAGCCACGCAGAACAACGTTGAACCAGCAGATTCAGAGCCATCGGTTAAGCCAAGAGGATAAACCGATGTTCCATTAGGAAACAAAATCCCCCAGTTTCTTTCCGAGACTGGTCCAGACAGCTTATCTTCGTTGTACAGCTCGTAGATGTATGTGTTTATAGGTATGTCTGGTCTGCTAGGAGGGCCTGAGTTGTTCAACACTCGCTTGATCAAGTTACTGTTGAAAGTCTCGGCGTTAGCCAAGTTTGCATCAGCTTCACCAGCTCCACCAGACGAAGGCCAGCCAGTCTCCGTGACAACGACAGGGATCTTGGAGAAATTCAAAGCTTCCATTGAGTAGTAAGCAGCATCAACCATAGCATCAAACATGCTGTTGTAATGTAAAAGCGTGTTGGGATCAACAATCTGCTTCACCGGAGAAAGCTGCTTGAACAAGGCGTATTCAAGCGGGAAAATCTTGTTGGCGGTTGTGTAACCGTAGTAAGGATACGCATTCAACATGAAAAAAGAACCCGTGTTCTTCAGGAACTGGAGAAGCTGGTAAACGGTCGTGTTCCAAGACGGGCTAAAAGTCGATGTAGATGGAGGAAACGGTTTAGGCATTATATCCATAGACATAGGGCTCGAAACTTTGACCTTGAAGTTGAGGTTAGAAGCCACAAGAGCCTTGTGAATGTTGTTGAGAGCCGAGGCGAGAATCGGAGCCACGTGTGGAGTTATGGTGAGAACTTCGCTACCAACAGCAATGGCGGTTATGTTAGTTGAAGGTACATAAGCAGCGACGTTCTTGTTAACCCATGAAGCTGCTGCTGATGGATACCGTCCGATTTTGAGGATTTCCTCATTGGTTACACCGACCATTACTTCGATGCTGGTGTTGGCAAATGCTTTGAGCATGTGGCTATTGGCATCATAGAGACGAACGTGTGTGATCTGTCGTGATTTGAGAAGCGTTACAATGTCAGAAGGCGACGGCATGTTGGTGAGACCTGTCCCGATGTTTACGCCGATGAATGCAGCTGTATAAAGATTCAGTTTTTAAACGGATTCAGAGTCTTGGAACTTGACCAGACTAAGAAAGACTCGAGATAATGTATTGTGATCTGAAGAAATTACCGTTTGTAGTCGCAAGAATCGAAATTAGGAGCAAGATTGACCATCTCGGAAGCAACATTGGAACCGAGAGCTTGAAGCACTAAACCTATAAAAAAAACTCTGACAAGTTCAAAACTGAGTCAAATGCTAATGATTGTAACAGCAACTTCAATCTCAACAAGGCATGGATTGTAGATTTCTCACTAACTCAGCAAAAACTGTTTTTTATTTGTTTTTTTGCTTTTTCAGGAGAGTAATAATTGAGACTCGTCAAATATGGTAAGAACCCTAAAATCAAGTAAGCAACTTTAGATACTAAATCATATATATATAAATGAGGATTTCCGAAAGGAAGTAAAATTATTGGAGTATAGACACTAATCTAACGCTCTGCGAATAGAACAAGCTAAACAGTCAAAACAGTAACCCATCGAGCATTCGAGAAGCCACGCTTTTTTTTTTTTCTATCTTATCTTTACTCTTTTGTCGTTTCGTTCTTTGAGACATGTTCTCTGCAAACAGGATTTGCAGAGCGAAGAAAAATGTGGAAGATTCTAGTGAAAAGCTGGTTCGGACACAAGCTAAGACAACAACAGTGCGATAATAATCAAAATATCCAGATGCAAAAATCAAGAAATTATTAGTACACTACCTAATTAGAGCTTGTCCGCTTCAGGATTCACTCGGAGAGGATTTAGATCACAGAGAAAGAAAGAAAAGAAAAAAACTCTCGAGGTTTTGCTGTAGAGACAGAACAGGGCTAAGCAGATTCAGAGATGTTTGTAGTGTAATGAACCCACCGAGGAAAAAAAAAAGTAAAGACTTTTTCTTTCCTTTCGGCGAAAATTATTTTCGAAATGGAGGAAAGGGGAAAAAATGAAAAAAAAAAAAAAGATATTCAGAGATTGCTGTGCTCTCAGTTTAACTTGGTTTTCTCTCACTTTAATGCGTGGGAAACCAGAGAGGTGTGTGTGACTGTGTGGGAAGGTGAGGCTTCAAAGTTCAAAGAGTTAAATAAGCTATTAAATAACAAATTACATATACATACATCTCTAATTATACAAGTTTTATTCTTGACACCTACTATACGGCTATATTATCCCACCTTCTTAATAAAAAGGGAATTAATAATTACGTAAAAAAACAAGATTTTGCGTAGCTGCAGACTACAGTTTCCACACTCTTCTCATGTTCTTTTCGGTTTTGCCCTTTTATTAAACTATATATAAATTTGAATCAAATGAAAGATCCATGTGATTGCTAATTTCATGTGCATAATTTCCAAATGTTTTATTGTTAGGGACTCTTTAAACGTATTTATTGGATTATAGTTTGGTATGATTCAATGGTAAATATGATCTGTAAATAGTTACACAGTTTGTTATGGATATTATTAGCTGACAATTGTATATAGCTACGGTATTTTCCCCTTTACTCAATAACAGAAATTCTGTTCCCAAACTTCTTCTTCCTTTGTCCCTCAAGCTCATTCATCTTCGATTGAGCTTGATTCCATTTCTGTTCAACCTTTTCTTCTTCTAATAGTATTTATCTTGGAAGCTCTCTAGTTACTCTTGATTCCGTGATTTCGTTCATCACCACAAGTCTTCAAAATTATAAAATAAATTCATCGTCATTTTTACATTTACGAGTAGTAACGACTCTGAAGTTCTGAACGAATTGACTACATATACTGGTCTCGTATAATTTTTTAAATGATAATTGTCAATTACATTATTCTTGAAATCGATAACTTTTCCACATATATTTTTCAATTTTTTTCAAAAAAATAAACAAGAAATATCATCGACATCATCGCCTTGTATTAAAGTTTAATATTCAAGCAACGTGCTCTATGGGGAAAACTGAAAATTCAAAATAATTCCAGAAACCTGCGACGACCAAGACTTTGGTCGGACTGGATTATATAAGAGACTCGGGCAAGTCAAGTAAACGCAACCCAAAATATCACGGCTAAGAAGAAAACATACATTTTTAATAAGACACATAAACTCTTTGAGCAAAAAAAAAAATACAAATAAGACACATAAAATCATATGACCATTTGAAATTAAAATTTAATAATATGTAAATAAATATAGAGAAAACAAACTTTTCGCATTATTTGAAAAGGAAGGGAAAACAAAATAGAAAATAGAAGAAAATAGCTGGAAAAGTGGGAAAGGTGGAGTTAAAAAGTCTTCGGGTTACCTGATAAATCTGGAGGATTTTTCTAACAGGTCCCTTTTCCTTCACCATAACAACGATAGATGGGATCTAATGAGATAAGATGACAAAAAAAAGCACATGCTACATCAATGTCATGTCTCAAGATCATTCATGTCTCGAAATCGTTTTTTGGTAGACGAGTCGAAAATCTTGATCAGGTTAGAGTTCGGGTGCACGAAACAAACGAATATGAATAATTTGTGAATATCAGTAATCTGAAACTTCAACACTACCTGCTGGCTTATCCGAAGCTGTAATAGGAAAATCTTTGTTGATTTAAAACTGTTGTCCGACTTTTTTATATCCTCTTGTAACAAAGCGATTGTGATTTTCAAAATCAATTAAAGTCATTAAACAAAAGATAAAATACGAATCACAAGTTTTGGATTTTAGAAGCTAAAAATACAGAACACAAAAATGCGAAAACAGAGAAGTACATATGCATCGTTCATTTTTTTTTAATTAAACACGACATAATAAAAAACTCCCGATCGGGAAAATCCAAAAAGAAGACGAACATGGTTTCAGTAACTTGGGTAAGGAAGAAACTAAGAGCGTAAACCAAAGAGATACATGGGGTGGTTTTGTGTAAATCAATCACTGGCTAGGAGAACGGTCACCATTACGTTCTCCACGAGGGCTTAGGCTCCGGCTCCTGCTCTGCCTAGGGACAGGGCTCCTGGCTTGTTCAGGCGTGTAGCTCCTGTTTCTTCTTGGGCTCACGCTTCTTCTTGGGCTCCGGCTATGGCTCTTCACCCTCCCAGGACTTGCACTGCGAACCCTTGAGCCATTATGTGGTGGTGAGCGAGAGTATGACCTCTCCTTCTCGTATCGTCTATCCTGAGGCGAGACAGACCTGCCATAAAACATAGTTGGAGAGAAGAGAATGGTTTTAAATCCATCAACGAACTTTACGTTAGTGTCATCGGACAGCAGTAATGAAATTCAGACAGGGCATGTGAAGCTTCTAGTCTTTACCTAGATTGATGTCTTTTAAGGGGAGGAGAATTATAGTCGCGGCTACGTGACCGTGTTCTACCACCACGACGAGGGGGAGGAGAACGAGAGTAACGAGGAGGAGAACGTCTTCTGTCATGGAACCTGTTGCTCCTACATACATTAAACAAATACACAACTTTGAGATCAAGTTATCGTTGTAGACAAGACTAAAAGTTTTCAAAGGAGGAAGAATCTCAATTCACCTTCCACCTCGATCCCTTGTTCTCATTTCAGTTGGCTTCTTCCGGTTTTCTTCTGCAAATACGACAGTCAGCTCACGACCAAGAAGAAGATAACCTTCCATGTGATGTTTTGCTTCAGCAGCATCAGAAGGATCCACATATTGAATGAAACCAAACCCACGTGGATCTCTGCAACAAATCCCAATAAGCAAACAAAATCTCAGACTCGGAACCAAAAACAGAGTGACCAAGGAAGATCTACCGACTGGACAAGAAGCCTTTTTGAACAAAAGTTGGGATTACAGTCTCCTGCAATAGAAGCCATCACGATAAACATGAAAAAAAAAAAAGCAAGCACTTGCCTGCAAACCTTGCAAAATTTAGTATAAAGATGACTTCAGTCTCCAAGACTTGATACATCTTCAAAATTGAATTCAAACCCAACTTCCTTCCAACCGTCAATACCATTTAGAACATCTTCCAAAGAACTCTAATTACTTCAATGGTCTCTTCAATTCTTTACGTCAACTGTTAAACCTCAACAACTTCAATAAACACCCTTTGATTGTGATCGAACATGGAACCTAAATCACTAGAATAGTATGGGTACTACTTACTAAGGCTGAATATTCAAATGTAGATAAAAACTTTTCAAAGCCCCAAAGGAAAAATGGAAATAAAATAAAGGAGATCTCCAACATCTAAGACATTTCAGAAAAAAAATTATAAATCAAAGAATTCATAAGTTGCAGGTGTGAAGATGTAGGAAGGCTACTTGGAATAAAATAATTGAAGACAAACAGGATTCACAAAAATTGGTATACGCAGCAAAAGAAAAAGATAAGATAGAGACACGATCTAATTGAAGCAAAAGTAATATAATGCCTTGTGTGATCAAACATTTAAACATTTAATGTCCTATCCACTGAGCATGCTCACCCAGTATAATAATCCCTCGGAAGGTAAATGTCCTTGAGAGGACCGAACTGCTCAAATGGCCTCCTAAGATCCTCTTGCCTGGAGAAAAAGAGAATAAAGGTAAGCAGAGAAGAACTTTTTAGTACCTCCCAAAAGTTGAGGAAAAACATAGTTAACCTATTGCAATGCTCTATATAGAAACGGGACATTTTACACGCTTCTTATATATTTCTGCTACAAAACAAGCATCCACTGAACGCGACATATCTATCAATCTATGATGATGAGTCAAACATCAGCTTTTCTCAAAGCCTTTCACACAAGCCTAAATAAGGAAGCACGTAAACATGAAACAGTACAGAACATACCTGCAATCATGACGTAGGTTGCGAACCAAAAGACTGGTTGGGAGATCCCTGTCACGACTGCCACCATATCGGCCACGGGGGCTAGGGCTCCGGCCCCTCCTTCCGTAACCCCTTGGTGGTGAAGGGGTGTAGCTTCGTCCCCTCATTGGGTCTAGGCTTCAATCTCTGTATCAATCAAACAACCAATCGAAACTGAGTTAGAAATTGCCAGATGTGATCAGATGCTTAAGAAATAAGAGAGAAACAAGCACAAGCTAACACACCAGCATCAAGAAAACTTCAGTAAAGTATAAAACCAAATTTAAATTCACCAATTTCTAAGCTAACAAATACCAAATGTGGATTAACATATAAACCAATAACTATGTCATTGGAGAACATAATAGATACAAATTTATGCTTCTTAAGAACCCAATCAAAGAATAACAACAACAGCAAAGACCAATTATATATGCTTAATTAGAAAACGCTAAAGCACGAGCTTTTTTCCACTTGAATTTACTATATAAGTGCCATAAAAAAGAAAGATCCATCCTTGCAACGAAACTTTGTACCAAGAATACAAATCCGAAAAAAAGAATCAATTTGATAGAATGGGTTCCCCGGAATCGATAGAAAGTTGAACTTTATGTGGTATCAAAAACGAAAGTCTCCGATCTGCAACGTTTCGGAGAAGAAGAAGAAGAAGAAGGAGAAGAAGAAGGAGAGCGGCCGACGAAGCATCGAGAGGCTTACCACAGCTAAGGACGGTGTTGAAAGAGCGACGGACGGATAAGAAAACCAGAGGGGAAGCGGCGCGGAAGTAAGTGGAGAAGAGAGAGAGAGAGTGATTGATTAGGCAAGAAAGGAAAATTGTACTTTGTGTTTTAGATCTTATGGTCTGGAACGAGCAGGTCATTAGGGTTTCTTCAGTCTTTATTTTATTTTATTTGCATATGTTTCCCTCCAAATCCATCCTTTTTATTGGTTTCCTTTGTCAACTTTTGCCTCCAAATTATCTCGAAAGTTTGGTTTTATGCCCATACTTTCTTTATTACATGTAGACCCTTTTAATGTACTAGATTTCGGTAATTCCTCAATCATTGAAACATAACGAAACCCTAATTACCCGCCCGGTCAGAGTATAACTACATTTGGGTCTCTCTCTCTTCTCACTCGCCGTCTCTCTTTGTTCTCCCGTCGACGTTCGTGATCGCCGGTGAGTCTTTTCTTTTCGGCTCTGTTTGCCCTAAAAAGATGTCGACTTTATGAAGCTTCTAAAACAACGTCTGCGATCCAGCAATTAGATTAGTTCATGAATGTCATAACCACTGTGAAATAATGCAATTGGATATATCTCTTTTAGACCCTTCTTTAGGTTTGTTTCAAGCTTGCAACATACATGAGGATGATGCAAGTAATTGACATAAAGTTTTGATTTTTTTTTTTTAAGCCTAAAACCTTTTGTTTCATTTTGGCCAAAGTTTTTGAGTCAAACCACTCATGTAACGCATTTCCAGTTATTCTAAGAGAGGGTGCTCTTTTGGTTGTGGTTAAACTATTCTACATAGTGCCTGATTATCCAAAACTTGATCATTTTGGCTTTCTCTTTTGCTGTCTGAAATTCTGCATATCCTGCTTTGATCTTATTAAGTTTCGTATATGCTATTCCAGTTCCCCTCTCCATGACAAATGTAGTTAAATCCACTCTCTTTGGTAATACCCACTAAAGACGATAATGTAATCCAGTTATGTTATTTGGCTATGTCATTCACAGAAATGACTGAAGCAGAAGCCAAGACTGTTGTTCCTGAGTCAGTGTTGAAGAAGAGAAAGAGGGAGGAAGAATGGGCACTTGCCAAGAAACAGGAGCTTGAGGCCACGAAAAAACAGAATGCTGAGAAGAGGAAGCTCATATATAACCGAGCCAAGCAGTACTCCAAGGAGTACGAAGGGAAGGTAATATTTTTCTACAAGTTTGATTTGCAAATTTTCTAAAGTGAGAAATGCAAATTCACGGAGAGTCTCTGCTGCTTGTTCTCTTCAGGAAAAGGAATTAATCCAGCTGAAGCGTGAGGCAAAACTGAAAGGAGGCTTTTATGTCGACCCAGAAGCAAAACTGCTTTTCATTATCCGTATCCGAGGGTAATGAGATCTTATATCTCCCAAGTTTATAGAATGTTGCTACTTGTATTACTGTTTGCTCACTTCGTCTTTGTCTTTCTTTCATCAGTATCAATGCCATTGATCCAAAGACAAAGAAGATTTTGCAGCTTCTGCGTCTGAGACAGGTAAGAATCTTATGATGAGAACTTGAAAAGTCTACACTAAAACCAAATTTGAATCAAAAAGGGATCGTATCTGACACTTGTATAATTCATTGCAGATTTTCAATGGAGTGTTCTTGAAGGTCAACAAGGCGACCATTAACATGCTTCGCCGTGTTGAACCTTATGTGACCTATGGGTACGCCTCTTCTCCTTTACATTTCAAAACTTTTTATTTTCATTCTCAGTTTAACTTAACTATCCTAGTCTTACCCATTGACAAGTCTCTCGCTTTTCCTCAGATACCCAAACTTAAAAAGTGTGAAGGAATTGGTCTACAAACGTGGTTTTGGAAAGCTTAACCACCAGAGGATTGCCTTGACAGACAACTCCATCATAGACCAGGTGAATTCCATCAGCCTATTTCCTTGATTTTGATGTTAGGATTTGTTCTCTTGCCTTTACTCCTGCCCTTTGGAAAGTTAGTGATTTATCACCAATGCTGGAACCAATTAGTCTAGAAGGTATGTTTATCACCGAAAGTCTAAGCCTTCTCTAAATTTACATACTTCTGTTCCCCGATGGTTTCAGGGCCTAGGAAAGCATGGCATAATATGCGTGGAGGATCTGATCCACGAGATCATGACGGTTGGGCCACATTTCAAAGAAGCCAACAACTTTTTGTGGCCATTCCAGCTGAAGGCGCCATTGGGAGGGATGAAGAAGAAGAGGAACCATTACGTAGAAGGTGGAGACGCTGGAAACCGCGAGAACTTCATTAACGAGCTCATTAGGAGAATGAACTGAGCTCTTTACTATAAGCGTTTTTGCTCTGGAACTCAGTGGTCAAAAACAGAGATGAGAAAAATGATATGATATTCCATTTATAGTATTTGACTATTTCAATTAAAAACGAAACTAAAATGAAAGCTAAAAAAAACAAAGAGGTTAAGCCTTATTCTGGCTTATTCTTGTCAATGCTTATGCGCTCATCAGGTCGAAGAATACAGACAAGGAGAATCAATTAGTGTTCTTATGTAAAAGATCATTTTAGTCAAAATAAAACATGCACCCTCATTGGTAGAACTGGAACGATGAATACACTTGATTGAACAAAAACAGTCATATTTCTCTTTATTCGTATTACAAATCGGCCGGAGAGACTACAATGTTTGAAACCATACACTTTGATTTGTGGCCATGTTTTAGAGATGGACGTTTTCTTATTATGCACTCAATATGTATAGTGATGTTACAGTCATCGCAAATCTAGAGCAATTTGACTGTCGAACTTGTATTTTACCATTCTTAGTAGACACAAACATTTGAAATGTAAGTAGAAGCCCCTCCATACAAAACATCATTGCAGATAGTCGAGAAGCGAGGGGATATTGGTGGGCTCCTGTAACAGGGCCCTAATCCCACTGAACATGAACCCGAGAGAAGTGAAACAGATAGATTCGATGTGAGTTAAACCGTTACATTTAACTAACGATAGTTTATTACTAGATATTCCTCTACATGCGGAAATCAAACATAGCCAGTTTTTGTCTTAGAAGACCTCTAACGCAGAGTCATCATGTTTCTAGTGCCTACCAGATTCATGCATGAAACATGTTTTTCTATAAAAAAAATAACTGCTGAATCGTTGGAGAGATTATTGTGTCAAAGGAGTGTTGTTATATCCAGCTAATATTCTGCCTAGTTAAGCCATATCATGCAAACTTTGTCTCTAAAACTTATCACAATCCCCATGTGGCTTCAATAGTGGCTCATTAATTAAACTAAATAATTCCCAGATCTTATTTTTCCGTAGTACCTTGTTGATGCATAGTTTAGTCTCGCAAACTTGTTCACATTCATGACATTTAATGTTTTCAATGACTCCAAGTCCAAGTACAGCTAGTTGTACTTGTCTCTGTACATTTCACGATAAGAAGGAATCAGAAGAAAAAAAAAACATGATGTTATCATATTCAAAACTACAACTTTTTAATTCACTACTTTAACTTCTCCATCATATTTTACACAAAATCAATATTGGTTTATTTTGTTGACTTGTAATCATGGATATTTCAAATTACAAATCATATGCAGAGTGCAGAGTAATCTTTTTTTTTTTTGTTCCAAAATCAAGATTTAAAATGGAATGGTAGGTGTTTGACGAAAAAAAAAATGGAATGGTAGGTGAGAATGAGATATCAATGCATCTGAATTGCTTGATTTTGTTTTTGGGTGACAGGTAAGTCGCTTGACGATAACAGGTGACCTATGGAATACCAGAAATGGCTTATGATTTTGAAACTTGCTCGAACTTGTCATGAGCCAATGAAATGTCTCCACACAGAGACTCAAACACAAGAATCACATATAATAAAGGAAAATATGGATAATAAAGATCAGATGGAAAGAGACAGAGAATCAGAATTTTGTCAATAGAAGGTATACATTGCATTGAATCTATGGCTCTATCTTGGGGTTGTTGTTGTGCTAGCCAGCTTTGTACCATTATGATCTGTGTCTCTTAATTGTAGGGTTTTTCTATGGCTTTGACTTGAAATCTTTGTGTTGGTTTGTTTATTATTATAATTTTTTTTCTGATTCTGAAAACTGATATGGTTAACTTACAAATACAAGCACATGGTCTGGATTTAGTGTACTCATCATTGATAATTTTTTTTTCTGTTTCTCGTGAATATGATTTCCTATAACTCTCTTATATGTATATAAGTATATTCTTATTTTGCTTCAATCAGTCTCGAGTTGTTGCAGTTCAAACGTTTTGCATTATTGTGATGAAGTTCTTGTAGTCTAATAGTTAGATCGTTTTGGTTACGGTTATTATGGATACTTTATTGGCTGCAAATGATAGCTTATGTGATCAGCGGGAAATATGACGGCATGACGATATTTAATATTTCGCTGAAATTTTACAAATTGGTTCAGCTAAGTTTAAAAAGGAATCGAAGAAGTTGATAATATATTTCTATTTACATGTGCATTTGCTTCTTCGTTTATTTTTCAACAACCATTTGCTAAAATATCAAAATTTTAATGTCATTATAACTATGTTCGAGCAAATTATTGGATAAAAGTTCTGATTATTATCCTAATTTGTGGTTATTCCATCATAATTTTTTTTCCATTTGTTAATCAATCTAAAGTCCACTAAAGATGCTAATCTGAGTTTTTTGGTTTCATCGTTTTCATTAATTAAGAACATTTATTTGCATCCATTTTCTTATTGGCTATTGTAAAACGCATTTGTCTTAATTCTTTAACAAAAATAAACGTATGTCTGTTTGGTGTTTAGTTTAGTAAATAACTGTGATCTTTTGTGATATATCGGGGAAAAAAATAATTTTTTATGGACCCATATAATTATATGCCAAAAAGGCTAAACCAGACTATAATCTGAATATTAAATTGGTTCAACTACTAAACATGTTTTACATAATCTGCATGATTAACATCGATTAGCTGTAGTACTTGTGTATATGTGTGGTCTTTAAACAAATCAAGTCTCTTAATTGATTTTTGGATGTATATGATCTTCTTCTATAGACTATAGTCTAGATCTGATCACCTTGTGGTTTGTGATTGAAAGGCATGGATTGTACATGGTCGTACCTATCCTAACTAAGATGTTTCATTAATTATAATCATGATTATCCAATAATTACGTAATTATGTGTACCATTTGAATTTTAATATTATAAATAACTACATGGTTGGTCTGCTGATCATCACCACAAATGTCTTGATGCCTTGGTGGCTCGGTTATTTTCTGTAGCTGAGGTAGAAAAAAGGCCTCGTATATGTAAAGTAGCACTCAAAAGATCAACGTTGCTTTAAATTTTCATCTTCCCCTGTTCATTTAAATTATGTCTAGTTGACTTGACCATAATTTTCTTGGGCAACACTTAACGTTTTGACTTCATATACTTAAAGTTGTTTTATGAGTACTTTTCATAGACCAACTTGCGGTTCAAGTTCTATAAATAGTGTGACATCAAGAGTCTGACTCCATCAAAATGTGAAAAAGTCTTGATTTTGACCCCAAGACTGAGACCTTAAAATCCCATGGTTTTTATAACAATTCTCTAGCTTCATTCTTGTTTAAGAAAAAAATTATGAGTAATAAATAATGTGCTAGTATGCCCATATAGCTTATTTTGTTGTGGTTATATGCAATAAATTTGGGTAATCCTATGGGTTATGATAATAGTAGTATTATACCGTTTAGATCACATACAAAGACTAATAAATGTACTAGGCCGTTAGGCCAAGCTTCAAAAAAAATTGCATAAAAAAATCCCTTATAAAGCTAGGATTCAAATGATACAGATCCCATTATTAAACTATATATACTTATATGTTTGGCAGAAAAAAAAAAAAAAAAACTATTTCTTGATATAACATATATATTCCAAAGTAGATGAACTAGCTATTAATAACTTTAGAACTTTTTGACCTAATGGAAACATCTCATTAAGTATGCTATAACCATAAGTTTTGGCCCTCCATTGAAATGGACGGTCATGATGTAACTGCTGATGTCGATGGATGACAATATTTATTTTGTCTTATATGTGTTATGTTCTATCACCTCAACACAATAATAGTTACTTTAAATTTTTCATTTCATTTAGCTTTAGTTTTCCCTTAGCTTAGTCCCATTTTCAATTCTTTAAAGGAAAATAAAAATCCGAGGTTTGAACCGGTAAATGTGTAAAATTATGATATCGTGCTGATTTGGTTGAGGAGTTGTTGTTCTAACTGACTCTTTCAATAACTGGTAGACCCACTTTTTGTAGCTTTTTAACCAAAAAAGAAAATATATATGTAGCTTAAACCTTGATTTTAACAAGCGAAATTCCTCTAAGAAAACAAAGAAACTAACAAATTGACAGTTTCCATCGGCAATCACTATCTAGTGATACAATATCTAGACAAAATGAATAAGTCAATTCATAATAATATATCCCTTGAAATTGCTAGTAACGTTGGAAGAAAATCATTAAGTAATGTTCCAAAAAAAAAAACAAATCATTAAGTAAAACCGTGTGAAAAAAGGTCAACGTGGATTCATCGATTAGAATCGTACTGTTAAGGGCATCTGCAACGCTGATTCTTAAGCGTTATTTTAGGCGTACTTAAGCCCACATTTAATTGAAATTAAAACTCAAGTAGCGATTCCTAAATAAGGTCTGCAAGAAGCGATGTTTGAGCATATATGGCACATCGCTACTGGTCCAAAGAAATGAAATATTTTTTCTTTTTTTTTAAAAACATCGCTCCGTGGTAATATATGTCTTCCAAATAACATAAATTACAATATTTCCTTTTTTAAGAATTCCTTGGTATTGGAGACAACAAAATACTACTCTCTCTGTTTTATTATAATTGATTTTCTAGGTTTTTTTTCTTGTTTCATAATATTTGATTTCCTACATCTAATTAATACTTGTATCTTCTTTAAATTGAATGAATAATATTAATGCATGTTACTTTACTCCATTAATGCACAGTTAGAAAAGAAAAAGTAATAATAAAAATAATGAAATCAGTTGTAAAATAACTTAATTAACAAAAATAAACAGTAAATAATTGAGCATTTATAGCTTTCTTAATCTGTGTGTAAATATTTAGAAAATCAACTATAATAAAACAGAGGGAGTAATTTTTAGTTTGGAATACTTAACTTTAATATTATTTTATTGGTTAAATACCCCTAATGAAGTACTATCATTACTGATGCTCTAACCTATTACTATAAGGTGGTAGAAGATGTCAACGTTAATTTAATTCTTACAATTACGATGCATACAATATAAATTTAATTATTTGTAAGGAGAAACCTTATTTTTTTATGAACTTCTAGCATAAACAGTTAGCTTTTATTATCTGTAT